ATAAAGAAACTAGAAGGGCTGGGCGTGGTGGTGCAAGCCTTTAATCCCAGCACTTGGGAGGCAGAGGCAGATGGATCTCTATGAGTTCAAGGCCAGGCTTGTTACATAAAGAGTTCCAGGCCAGCTGGGGCAACAGGGAGACCCTGTCTCAAAAAGACCCCCTCCCTCCAAAAAGAAACTGGAAGGAACACATTTCTAGCTAATTTAGCAACAATGACCCATGTTAACACTACGGTCTGGTTTAGCTGTTTGCCATTTTAGGGAAGCAACATGAGCGAGGGGTTGTACACCCACATGCTGAGGCTCTGAGCAGTGGCAAGAGCCACAAGTGGTGAGGTTGGTCCCTGCTCACCTGGGAGGCACAGCTCACCTGGGTGGCACAGCTCACCTGGGTGGCACAGATGAGACAGTTCCCTGCCCTCCTGCCTTCTCTCTTGCCGAGTTCTTGCCCCATCTGGGTGAGTACATCTCACCTGTTCCTATTCTCTTGGTTTATTCTCCATGTCCTTGTGTGTCTTTTTTTGTATATTTTTCTTCTTTCTGCCTCTTTTTCTACCTCTCCGTTCTCCCATCATTTTTTTTTATCCTGTCACTCAATCTTTGCCTGGTCTCTCCCTTTACTGAGGCAAGAGAGCCTACTCCTATATATTTATTTATATACTTTATTTATTTCTTTATTGAACACTTTTATGTATCATGCCTCATACAAAATATGCAATGTTTTGCATTCATCTGGAAAACAAATAAATAGTGATTTTTAAAAATTGTTACTCTAGGGTTGGGCATGGTGGCACACCCCTTTAATTTTAGTGTTCTGCACGCCTCTAGAGGCAGGTGGATTTCTGTGAGTTCCAGGCAAGCCAGAGCTACAAAGTGAGATCCTGTCTCAAAAAACAAAAAGCAAACAAAATATTATTACTCTAGATTGATTTCTGTACCCTAATCTCAGAAGTCAGAGCCAGCAATAGAATAAAAGTGCTACCCTAGGGCTCCTAGCAGGAACGATCCTGTGGCTGAGGCATGACAGGCGTGAGAAGCGTGATGGTGGGGGCATGCAGGGCATGAGTATAATGAGGGTACATGGAATGGAGACCCCAGTCAGCAGCCACCCATCATGTGGCACCGGGCCTTTCAACCATGGAGCTCTCCCCTTGAGGGCCTTTGCCACTCCCTCCCCGAGTGAACTACCCCTAAACCTGAGTTCATCAGGTGCACAATCCCTCCACACCTTTGCTTACGCACATCCCTGTGTTTTGCATGCCTTGGTGGGTTCAGTTCTGTTCACCTGGTCAACACCTACCCATCCGCTGAGTCCTTCCTCATCCATGGAACCAGCTAGAATAGCCTCCTCCTTCATGTGATCAGAGGTAGGGTCTCAGTCTCCTGGCTCCCCTAGTGCCCAGACCAGGGCCTGTTACACAATAGGTATCCAATCAACACATGTTGGAGAAATCAAGAGTGCAAAGTCTTTTGTCTCCTCCTTTACCAGAAGGACAGCAAAGTGAGTTAACGTGGCTCTGGCCTGAGGTTTTCCACCAGCCTCCCCTTTCCCATCCCTGAATCTAGTCCCTTGCTTTGAGACCCACTCCAGTTACCCGCATACCTATATTATACCACCACCCTCCTTGGTGCTTTCCCCATACCCACAGGAAAACCTATCTTCCACCTAGGCTCCCAACTCCCTGACTTTCTGGGAGCTTATTGGGGTCTCCCTCATGGCTGTATTTTCACCCCTATGTCAGGCACATGCCCCACACAGTGAGCCAACCCCTGAGTGCAAGCTCCAACATGACCATGGATTAAGTGAGCAAGCAAAGGCATCTTTTCACCCCTTAAGGAGAAAAGGCCAGAGGCAGCACAGCTGCTGGCCACAGGGAGGGGAAGAATCAGAACCCAGTCTCTCACCCCTGCTAGGTAGTGAGTGGTGCAGGCGATCACCGTTCCAGCGACATGGGATGAAAACATTACACTACCTTGTTGGCCAGGGCGTCTCCGGGTCCATCTTCACCTTTCCCAACACTTAGCTCTGACTGCTTGCAATTAGTATCTGAGAGACAATCTAAAAGGCAAGCTGCATTATGGACCCCAAGAAAACTGCAGGGCACAGCGAAACTTGTACAAAGAGGCTCAAATGCAAAAGGTTGGTTCCTTTTCCTACTCAGCTGAGCCTCATCAAGGAAATAAGATCAAGAAAGTGGTGTTCGACTTTAGCATTTATTTATAATTGGAAAAAAACTATTGGTTTGTTTTCTGAGCAAGCACAGACCACAAGCACGTCACAATCAATTGGCTATACATGAATATTTTTTGTCATTCTTTTACTAAGAGCAGGAATGAAATAGCACCAAGAGAGGTGTGTGCACTACACATTACATAGACAATCTGTGGTATGCAAAAAACCCGGGCCACAAAATCATAATTAATTAGACACTTCTGGTCTGCCTCAGCAGGACACAGCGCTATTGGCTGTGTGAAAGTGGGGCAGAGAACAGGAAGCTGTGCAGAGCTTAGGGGGAGTTTTGCAGGCATGCCAAGCAGACAGTGGGGAAAGTCTCCATCCCAGCCTATTTGCCAGGGGTGGATGGGGAACTGCAAGATGAGGGACAGAATGAGGGGGTCAGGCATCCGGAGTTTGATCACCTGCGGAAAGGTGATGCCAAACACTGCTTAAGGAACCAAGGTCAGTTTCGTCCTGTAGGTTTGGGATACAGAACGAGACTGGCTGAGTTTTATTTGTAAACAGTAGAAATCAAAGGAAATTTCTGATTAGTGAAGCGACACATTCAAGAGTCAAAGTGAACTGCAAACAGAGTTTTCTCGGGGGTGTCTGAGGAAGGGGACCTCAACAGCTTGAAGAGGGCATACCCAGGTCATCTAAAGCCTCAGGTAGGGCGGGATAAGAAATTCAGTCCCTGGTACTGTGGGGCCCTTGTGGTAAACTACAGCACACTACTCAACTCAGTCATGGCACACATGTGAGTTGAGAAATGGATATGTCACTGTGGAGACGGCCACCTGTCTATCCACCAAGCCTCACACAGTGCCTGGAACAAGGCATTCAGACTGTGGATGCTGAATGAATGATCCCTGTGCATTGTAAACTCTGATTTACTCTATCTACTAAACATACGCTCATTCTACAGAGAAATCCAAGTTCTAGTGAACACCACATCTGACTGCTGCTAAGTTTGACAGAAGAGTCATGCATTGGTAGATCCAGTTAGAGCTTGTGGATAAAGTTCTCTGGTAAACATTAGGGCTAGCTAACAAGTAGCCAGAAACAGTACTTCTGGATGGTTACTGGAACCTGCGAGTCATGGCAATGAAACTCATCAAGGTTTCCTTCTTTCCCTAGCACTTCCCCTCCCTCACAGTCCAAGCCCTGAGCTGGAAATGATGGCAGCGAATGTGGCCATAGACTTCTAGTCTTCCTCTTCTGTTAAAAACTAAGTCTGCTAGCACATGAAGTCTCAACCAGCCCCAGGGTGACAAAGGAAACAATGCAAACAGATGCATCTTTGCCTGGACAGTGAGACTAAACTGAAGCTTTGAGCTCCGCCTTCCCCAAACCACAAGGACCTGAAGGGACTTCTGAGGCAAGGAACCGTAAGACCTTCCTTCTGCACCATTTTCACAAGGGAAAGCAAGTTGGAGTGCCACAGCCCCGCCTGTCAGAACGCTGGAGTCAACAAGGACTTCCGGGAGAGGAGACAGTGTGCGGAGCCACCTGTACATCACCAGAGTATTTCTGGGGGACATTTTGGGTTCCCTCACAAGCACTTAGGAGGCGTGGAGGGGAGGGATTTCACAACCACTCCCTGACTAATTCCTACAACACAATTCTAGCACAGCTAAGGGGGCACTTGCCTCCCCTGGGGGCTTTGGTCACACACACACACAGACACACACACACACACACACAGACACACACAAAAAACACTGCAAAACTAAGTACATTGAGAGGTGCTTCTAAGCATCGAGGAAGTCAAAGGCGTTTGCCAATCCCTTCGCAGGACACATCCAGGACCTACAGCTACCACACAGATACTGACCAGATGCTCAGCACACTAGCCTCTCTATGGAATAGAGCAAGAGCAGTTCAGGGAGGGAGGGGAAGCATCACCACACTTGCCACCACATCTACATCCCACCTGGGGGTCTCAGGAACAGAAAGTCACAGTAAGCACGCTATCTATACACCTGACCATTCTCCCTTAGCCAGGTGCTCTGCAACATCAGCAGCACATGGAGGGTAAACAGAGGAAAACCATCTCCCATTGCTGGGATTCCCCCCATGACATCTACAGCACCTAAAACACCCACTCTTTGCCACCTTTGGCCAGCCTTAGCCAGTGGCCCATCTATTACTTGATATATAATTTAAAGCCCACGGATAGGCATGAAACACAAGCACATACTCCTAACAGAAGATTCTAGGGGACAATCACTTCAAATTAACAGACACAACTCCATTTCATCAACATTAAGGCCAAGGTTGGTTTGATGTTGTTGTTTTGTATGTAATATTTTCACAAATTCCATCAACTGCTGAAGCCCAAGCTGAACTTCCATAACATGCAATCACCCAATGAACTTTGGAAAAGAACATTTACCTAAAGTTCAAATTCCAGTGACACAAACTGTGGGAGGAGCAGGGGGAGGAGAACCTACAGCAGACTCCACCAGGAGGTGTGCCTGGCAGTAGCTGAGATCTGCCCCCACCCAGACCCGCAGGGAGGGCACAGCCAGTGCACAATACTTCCTGGTGTCCCAGGAGCCCTTGGCTGGATGCTGTGCCACCCACAGGAGGAGGTAGCGCCCTTGGTCTGTGAAACAGGATTCCTCCACCAGAAGAAACCAACCACAGAGCTCCTGGGACACTTGGGACCAAGGCAGATGGGAAGTCTCTAATTAATTTTGTGGCCTTTTTTGTTCGTTGGTTGAAAAAAAAGGGGGGGAAGAGAGAAGGAAGAATAAAAGGAAAGTGCGGTGACATTTACTCTTTCGCCTCAGCCAGTTTATTGTTCATCTCTTTGCTTTGCTCCTTGTCGTCAGGTTTGGTGGCACTGGGGCCCTCTGTGGTCTTTTTCTTGGCGGCCTGGCCCGACACCACCTGCTTGTCTTTGGCCTTCCTCGGGGGCTTATGGCTTGCTGAGGTCTTTTTTGGTTTGGAACTCTGAACGCTAGGTTTCTCTACCTGCATGAGGAGACAGACAGACAGAGCACAGATACAGAAACACAAAAGGGAGGGAGTGGGAGAGAGGATGTAGAGAAAGACATCACAGTGTTAACTAAGGAGTATCGATAACAATAGAGTTTGACAGTGACAGGGCAAGTGCAGGAAGGATTTCTGTGATGTCTGGGCATCAGGGTTCTCTTGTCTGAATCCCTGGGCAGCCTCTCCGGTTGGCAATACTCTCTGGTGCTGCGTGGGTTCCCTGTTCTGCCATTTCTTCCCTGGAATAACCAAGGCAGCAGGCTAGATCACAGTTGCAGTATCTGCTATCCCTCCTTGGGGGAGGGTTACACCCCATTCAACTTGGGCACAGACGTGGTTAGCTGTGGCGACTGAGTGTAAGGAGGGACATGTGTGGGTCACCACCAGGCCCAGGAGTCAAGCAGCCTGTGCTTTCATTGCTCTCTCCTCGCACAGAGAGGCAATGTGAGGGGCGGGTATTCACTGGGTTGAACTTTGGACGTCAGGTGTCAAATGTTGTTGGCCATACCTGGCCTTTCTCTGCTCTGGCCCTGGGGTGGCAGATAACACGTGGAGAAGTGTTTTGAGATACTTCTGGGGTCAGGCAAGCCACAGGCACTACCAGCCACATGCTTATCTCTGGCTGGGCTTTGCCCACTTCCCCAGAGCAGTCACTCCATTCTTTAGGCCTCTCCTCTAGCTCTATCCCCTCATTCTGAAGAATTAGTCCTGCCTTCTCTTTTCTGAAGAAATCTGGGGCCACTGAGGACTCGGTATGCCCCCTCCTGTCCATCCTTAATTTCCCCAGTCTTCCCTCCTGCCTTACCTGGAATTTTCTTTCATCCAACACCAACCCATGTCCCGAGACCTGTATTGTCTGTGGATGGATGGAGTTAATGTTAGGCCTTCCAGGCTTGGCCTTTCACTAACTGAGGCCCAATGACCAGCAGATAAGGTAGCCACTCTTCCTGGTTTGCCTGGAATAGGGGATGGGGTTCCTAGAAACATGGAGCACTCAATGCTAAAACTGGATACATTCCAGACAAACTGGGTGTGGTAGTTAGCTACCTTAGCTACAGACTGTCCTGGCTTATAGGAAATGCCACCTGAGTGCTAAACTTGAGGACAAAAGCAAGCAAAGGCTACTTAGATTCTGGAGTTATTTCGCCCTCAGACGTGTTCTGCTGTTACACACAGGAGAGGGATATGTGCCCAGCTCCATCCAGCCTGACATATAGTAAGTGAGGCTGCTTGGCTCGAGTGATCCTACTTCACTAGGAGCTCTGCGTCCACCATGCTTCTTCTCCTAGTTATGAACTCATATTGAGGTAAAATTGGGCAGGACAGTGTGAGCATAAAAAAAAAAAAATCCCTGAATTTTCACTAACAAATGACTGAGAACAACACATCTTGCACCTGCTGTGACAGGGACATTGCGACATAGCGGACATTGTGGTGGATGGTGTTTATCAGGGAAGAATGAGCAAAGGTGGGTGGGATTTAAGGACTGGGGAGGGAAGGAAGGGTCCAGGCTTAGAGCAGGGTAGAGGAGGAGTCACAGGGTAAGGCCAGGCCAGGGAGAGCCCAGGCAAACCTGGGCCAGACCCTCAGAGGCAGGAACACAGGTCCTTTAAGACTAGGGGATACAGCCAGGCGTGGTAGCATACACCTTTAATCCCAGCACTGGGGAGGCAGAGATCAAGGCCAGCCTGGTCTACACAATGAATTTCAGGCCAGCTGGGGCTACAGGGAGACCCTGTCTTGAAACAAACAAACAAACAAACAAACAAACAAACAAAAAAACTAGGGGATACAGGAGAGCATGGTGGCACACACCTTTAATCCACACACTTGGGAGGTAGAGGTAGGTGGATCTCTGTGAATTTGAAGCCAGCTTGATCTACATAGTGAGTTCCAGGCCAGCCAAAAGATGAGGGAATTTAGAGCTCAGGTGAGATTTTCTGTTACTTCTAGTCTACACTTCACACACGCAGAACCTAGTCTATGAAAATTGATCAAACTTTAAGTTGTTTTTATTTCATGTAATGCAGCTTCCTAATGTGTCCTTTGAATTTAACAGAGGTACCTCTTGAAGATGCCCCTGGGTTGTGTGCCAAGGAGGGAAGGTGTGGTTTATCAGGAGCCTCTCAGGCCTGGCCAGAGTCCCACACTCTGCCTCCTCCAGTCTGTGCTATAAGGGCTGTCTCACCTTTGGGGGTTCCTTGAAAGGCTCACTGTAGAGACTGCGTATTCTTCTGCGATCTATGGCCTTGTCATCAGCTATGGTGGGCTTATTGGCCTCCCCTTTGAATTGGGCACTGTAGCTGGTCTCGTGAGACATCTTGTCATCTGGGGGTTTGTACTGGGGCTTGGCTTTGATGGGTTTCACAGGCTTGATGTCTGTCCATGCTCTGAATTCATTCCTGAAAGAAAGCATCAATGATAAGAATCAGCACACGGTGCGCAAGGCGCCCCATCTCGGCTGCACACGCTGCAGACTCCCCGAACTACGCTTGTGGCACTGACTAAACTAAGGCTGGAGTCACTGCCATTGCCACCACAAAAACTTCAGTTTTCCTTCTCCCAAAGTTGACTTGGGTGTGGTAATCGCAGTAGAGATTCAGAGTAAGAGCTCAAGGTGCCTCCCGCCCTGCACTGGGGGACCCAGGCCAGTAATTATCATCTTCAGGCCTTGTGGGCCCAGCTTCTAAAAAGAGGCTGAGCGTGTCTCTCCCACTCAGTGCCTTGTGAGTTTGATGACCATGGGATGCCTGTGTGAGCAAGGCTAAAGAATTGTGGACGTGGTTGAGACAGGCATTGGGCAAGCTGCAGTCTAGCAGCAAATACCAAGTCCTCCTACCCCCACCTTTCCTGTGGTGATAGAGATCAGCTAAGTAAGGTCTTATGGGTGCTAGGCAAGGGCTCTACTGCTGAACACCTTTACTGTCCAGAATCTTCAGGGTAATCCCTCCCTTTGAGCAGCAAAACTTGCTTCTTACCTTGCAAGAACATTAACAACCTGGTCACTTTAGATGGGTTGTTAATGGCATGTCTTAAGTACATAGCACATCCAGGCATCATTTGGACATCATAGCTAGGATTGCAATGGATGTATATGTGAAGGAAAGCCATTCTGTTCTTGGGTGTGTGAACGCTATTAGTCTGTCCCCTGTGTCACCCCATCTGCTGCTATTTTTTTTTTTCCATCAGTGTGCCTGTTTTCCTATTCACAGCAACCCCTCTATGGTTGCTACTCAGCTATTTTGTTGTTCTTTTGGTATTATTATTATTATTGTTATTGTTGCTGTTTTGTGTGTGTGCGTGTGTGTGTGTGTGTGTGTGTGTGTGTGTGTGTGTGTGTGTGTGTGTGTGTGTGTGTGTGTGTGAATGGGTAGTGTTCAGTATTTAGCCTGCTAGGCACAGGCTCTATCACTCAACTATATTCCCAGCCATCTTCTTACTTTTTAATCTCATTAAGTTGCCCAAGCTAGACTTGAACACTCTCTGTTCTTCAGGCTGACTGTGAACTTGTAATCCCTCTGGCCTCTGCTTCCTGAGTAGCTAGGATGACAGGCCTGCACCACCAGGCCTCAGTACTTGGCTGAGTTTGCTCTGTTATGGGTCTGGAAAGTAGGTATCCCACAAAGTTCAAAACAGGAAATAACTGAGGTGCTGCTGGAGGCCCAAAGGGTCTCTCTACTTTGAGGGCAGGGAAGTCTGTGAAGCAGTTCAGGGCTCCAGAGGCCTTGATGAGTCTATTTCCTGTCAGGGACCCTGGGCCTGTTCTTGGGAAGAAGCAATCAGCTATGGAGCTGAGTTGGTCCAAGGCCATCTCTCACTTTCCTAATTCTCTTCCTCAGGACTCAGAAATAAGAGCCTCAAACAGGGAGGTCATGGGGACTGTGGCGGATGGAGTCAAGCTGCCTCCCTTCTTTTATTCACTATTTTTATTTTGTGTGTATGAGTGTATTGCCTGCATATATGTAAGTGCCCCCCTCAAAGTAGTCAGAAGAGGGCGTTGGATTCCCTGGAACTGGAGTTATGGACAGTTGTTAGCTGCCATGTGGGTGCTGGGAATTGAACCAGGGTCCTCTGCAAGAGCAGTCAGTGCTCTTAACTGCTGCGCCATCCCTCCAGCTTCATGGTTGCCTCCTTTTTTAAAGGACTGCCTCTAGCTATTGAGCAGATCATCTGCCTAGAGCCTTAATTTCCTCATTTGTAAGATAAAAGCATTCGGCTAGAAAAGGCCCTGAAAAGATCTGTCTAGCTCCCAAGTCCTCAGCCATTAAAGCCAGTTTGGTAACAGTTAGGTAACTAGTTGGTCTTTTGATCTGCCCTCTGGCTCCTACATGGAATTGCCACATAGCTTCAAACCCACCTTTCTGGTGCATCTTGGGCCTCCATCTGGATGTCCCACCAACTCCTCTGACTCCATGTCCCTACACTCAAGTTATCTGGTCTTCCCTGCCTTTTCCTGGACTCCCATTCATACCCATTCATTCATTCACAAGATTTTTCCAGTGCGCCTGATGAGACACTGCACATGGTGGAGCCCAAACAAGTAAGAACAGACCCTGAGCTCAAGGTGAAGTAGGCAGAGGAATTTGAGGTTACTACAGGGCAGGACATGTAGAGCCATGGAGGAGGAGGGGTAAGTGCACAGAGAAGGAGCTCCCATCCCAGCCTAGGAGCCCGGGGTAGTTTCTGGAATGGAGTCAGAGAGGCTCCTTGAGTTGGCCAAAGATGGGGAACAGGGTTCCAGGTGGAGTGCACAACCCACCCAGAGGTTCCTGAGTGGCATGCCCTGTGGGGACCTGTGGGCAGTGTAGACCTCTGGGTTCAAATTTGCTGGAGTAAGAAACATTAAATATCATTCTTTTCTGTCAAATACTGTAAAACTTTTGTTTAGGACAAGGAATTCAAATCTTTTAACACCCCCTACCACCACCCTGTAAAACTTCTGTTTATGAACAGAACCCTGTTGCGTTCCAGGAACTGACTGCCTGGGGTGGCCCAGCCCTTCCCCCCTTTTGGCCAACCCTTTCATTTCTTTTGTGCCAATTCTTTAAAAACTTGCCAGCCTCAGAAGACTGAGAGGTGGGACCCTAGGCACAGACAAAAAGACACAGTACTTTTGAATTGGGATTAAAAACCTGTTAAACTTCACGTTCACCTGTGCTTGCTTGATCCTAATGTTGCAAGTCACCCTTTTGCAAAAATCAAAGCTGCCTTGCTAAGTTTACTTTAGTAATGCCTGCATGTTTTTGTGCTGTACTGGTGGAGTCCTGGACCTCAGATTTTATTTCTAACACTGGGGAAAGGCACAGGGGGTAATCACGGGGGGCCCACTAGCCATGCTAAGCAGATGCTTTTTCCTGCAGCACAAAATTACCCAGTGATTTTGCTCCTAGTGGTGGATCACACATCTGGTGCTGTAGACCAGGCCAACCCCCTGTGTCGAAACAGGCTACAAGCCCTCGCAGGGAAGCCATTACAAGTATACTGTGGTTAATGAATATAGTAAACCTACAGGGATATCTTCTAGGCATTTGTATTTACATTCATGTTTGTTTAGATGTGTCTACTTCCTTCTATTTGTCTTTACAGTAGAAGAAACACCACTGAGATAGATTAATGGCCACAACTTGAAGACGGATAATGGGGAGGCCCCAAAAGTCACTATCTTGCCACGATACAAGAGAGATCACCCTACATCTGTCACCCCCTCCAAGGCTCAAGGACCATAGTGGAAGATTGGTGGAAAGATTTTAAGAGCGGAGGAAAGGGGTGGAGTGTGTCCCCAAAGGGCCTGGTTCCTCCAAGGGGCGGGGCCTGCTGAGGAGAATTGACTGCAGAGAGTTAGCCCAGAGGGAGGGGCTTTTGGTGCCATCTTGGAAGAGAAGTGGCGTGGGCAAAAAAGATGGTCCAGTGTCTCACCCATAGGGACACGAGAGGGGGCATTTACCGACCTGAGGCGAGACTGTGGGCCCATGATGCATGGGCGAAAGCTAAGAGACACTGTGGGCGGGCGCAGAAGCGATCTTGAATGGCGGGCCAAACCTGCTCAGAGCCAGGTGCTGGGTGTTGGGCGTTCGTTTCTCTGTAAGTTTCTCCCCTATCCCACCAAATATATAAACTATGAAAAATTCAGACAAAGATATGTTATGTGGTTTGTCTAATAGCGCCAGGGGCAAGAGACCCTAAGAGAGCTTGGGCGACAGCATGCATACCTGCACATACATGTACCCCCACAGGAACACATGCATGTGCATATGCACATGCATGTATACACACACAAAAATAAGACGCTTAATAGAAAACTCAAGAAGAATCCTATTTTTGAGTCTGATTTCATTTGCATGGCTATATGTAGGTCAGGTTAGAGTTGAGCAAGGACCTTGTCCCCACCTGACTTTCCAGCACCTTGTCTATGACCCAGGCTGCTGCCTAGGCTTTCCACCCTTACTGACAGGACTCAAGGGCTTAGCATTCAGTGGGTATGAATGGAACAACCATTGTTTGCTTTCACTTCTGGTCAGCTCATTTCCCCTCCTCCCATGCCCTTTCTTCCCTGTTACACACGGGGTAGGCACTTGCTCCTCAATGGCATGAGAACTCCCCCTTCCCAAGTCCTTGACCTTTTACAACCAGCACCTAGAGGTGGGTGTATGGCCTAGGTTTGGGGTCCTTTGGACTTATGACCACTCTAGTTCCTGGAAACAATCACAAGATGGGACTCTTCTTGTCAGTCTGGGTGTCTTAACTGTAGTGGGGTCTGGGCTTGTAGTGGGGAGGGCCTCAGGCTGCTAGCCCTGGCATCCCCGAGATGTTCCTCATGTCTAGGCGTCTTTATATCATGGTGTATAGAAGTCATAGGGAAGTGATGGTATCCATCCTAATCACTAAAAGCCCTCTATTTCCTCCACAACAAATCCTCTGGTGGACCTTGTAATTCACAGCTAAGCATGTTTTCTACATAATCCCTGCAGAGACAGAGGAAGGTCCTCCAGTGGGTGGGTAACTGCAGACAACTGGATTCAGTCAATACATTTAAATGATACCTTGATAGCTTATTTGTGCTGGAAGAATCTACTAGACTAGGCAAGGCCAGCTCCCAACCCTGAGCAATGAGTGGCAGAGCCAACTCAGAGTCTTTGTGGCAAGTTTTGGACCACAGCTAGTCATATTCAGGAAGGCAGCTAAAGAAGGGCTCTAGGGTTTGATCTGGTTTTCAAAGAGGTCAACAGATATCAACTGTTCAACTCCTGTCCAGCCTTCTGTCCCCACCTTTCCTGAGCCTCAGTAACTCCTTTTCCTGGACCATTGCATCAGATCACAGCATCTGAGCCCTGATATCCTTCCTCACTTCTGAAAGGCTTGATACACACCAGAGAAAATCACTGCTTAGCTGTCTGCATGCTGT